GATCATTTATGTCTATGACATTTTTCTGACAGATGATAATATAGTAGAGTTGGAGAGATTAAAGAAGAGCCTTGCCACAAAATTTTAAGTAAAAGACCTAGGACCAATAAGATATTTCTTAGGAATGAAAATTGCTAGGACAAGACAAGGAATTAGTGTCTCACAACGAAAATATGTCATTGATCTTCTAATTGAAACTGGCATGCTTGAATGCAAATCAAGCGATACACCTACGGATGTAGGAAAGAAAATTGAAGATGAAGAAATTCTAGTAAAAGTCGACATATAACAAAGACTAGTTGGAAAACTAATCTACCCGTTATACACCCGACATCACATTTGTTGTTAGCCTAGTTAGCCAACACATGCATTTTTCGGAGGAAAGTCATCTAGAAGCTATCTATAAGATACTTAGATATATTAATGGCTTCTCAGGAAAATGGCTACTCTTCAAAAGGGGTGAAAGAAAAAAGTTGAAAGCTTTACAGATGCAGATTAGGCATTATCGATTGATGATAGGAGATTTACTACTGGAACTGTATTTTTGTATGGGTAAATCCAAAAACTTAGAGATATAAGAAACAAAATATGGTAGCTAGAAGTAGTGCTATAGCAGAATTCAGAGTTGTCCCACTGGGAATATATGAATGATTGTGATTAAGAAAGCTCCTTGAACAATTACATATCACAATAAAGTTGCCAATCAAACTTTAATGTGACAATAAAGCAGCTATCAACATATTCCTTATTCGAGTTTAGCACGATCAAACTAAGTATGTAGATGTAGACAAACACTTTATCAAAGAAAAGGTAGAGCGAGGAAATATTTATATGAACTATGTCCCACACAAACACAACTTGCAGATATCTTCACCAAAGGATTGCAAAGACAGAAATTCGATGATTTTATCTCCAAGTTGGATATGATAAACAGTTAAGATCCAACTTAGGAGGGCATTGCAAATCTCAAATTGATTGGGAATTTAATTAGGGAGATTGTAAAAAATTTGAAGGGTTAAGTTAGTGATACTCCTTTTGTTAGGAATACCTAATCCTAATGAATTTAGGAAATCAAAATCATGACACGAAACCGGTTAAAAAACTTCAAAGAGTATTTCAAATAGATCTTGGGAATGACCAGTTGTATTTGTGGACGACACAGTAAAAGCTTTTTCAATTCCTTTATTAACGGTTACCATAGATAGAATATGGTAATTTGATTAGAGTTCACAGGAGATTTTTATTTTATTTTTATTTATTATTATTATTATTTTTAGTAAATTTCTTTCCTCTACTATAAATAGGAGCTATGTATTGTACATCATTAACATGAAAAGTATAGTGAAATCCTTTTCTCGGCCTCGCCTTCACAAATTCAGCTCAATTCTGATTTTCTCATGCACTTGTCACCTACCTTTCGAGCCTCATTTTTTTAATAAAGCAAAACAAGAATACCATAAATATCTTTAACCAGAAAAGTCTAGCTATTGACTTGGATGTCATTGACCCTATCTATGTTTCTATGATGGCCCAAGAACACGCTCATTCTTCAGCCGAAGGGGATGAGGGGGGAGGCTCTTGAGGAAGCCCCGTCCGCCCTTCTCTATTTTGATTTTGAGGGATCCCTCATATTGAGGAGGCTTCCTGAACTTGTAACAAAGCCAAACGAAGCTAAGTTCTATCGTGAATTCAAAGTCGAGAACTAAACAAAGTGAGAAAAATAGGTCTCAAAGAAAGTAAAGGCCATCCAACATCCGTTCCCTTTGACTCAGAAATGTTCGAGTCAGCCTCTCTATTATGAAGTCGTTGTTTCCTAGCCCTCCGTCTGTCCTGATATTGAGGCAAGCCCGCTACCCCTTACATTTGGGTAATCCCGATTGTCTTACTAATATTACACCATGAAAAAGCCTCACACGACGATCACAGGCTGAAACCATTTAATTTGTATGATCAAGAGTTCATTATTAGGCATACTTATTATTTTCTCTAACATATCCCTCTGCTCAACATCCAAATTTATCCATAAGCCACCAAACCAATCAGAGGCACTTGTTGTCACATAAAAAAATGCTGTATTACACGAAGTAAATGAGTTTTCTGCAATTCAACCAAATGGAAGCAATATTCTACGGGTAACTTGTCCTGTCCCGAACAATGCAAAAACATCATATGATATATTGATGACATTTTTCTGACAGATGATAATATAGTAGAGTTGGAGAGATTAAAGAAGAGCCTTGCCACAAAATTTTAAGTAAAAGACCTAGGACCAATAAGATATTTCTTAGGAATGAAAATTGCTAGGACAAGACAAGGAATTAGTGTCTCACAACGAAAATATGTCATTGATCTTCTAATTGAAACTGGCATGCTTGAATGCAAATCAAGCGATACACCTACGGATGTAGGAAAGAAAATTGAAGATGAAGAAATTCTAGTAAAAGTCGACATATAACAAAGACTAGTTGGAAAACTAATCTACCCGTTATACACCCGACGTCACATTTGTTGTTAGCCTAGTTAGCCAACACATGCATTTTTCGGAGGAAAGTCATCTAGAAGCTATCTATAAGATACTTAGATATCTTAATGGCTTCTCAGGAAAATGGCTACTCTTCAAAAGGGGTGAAAGAAAAAAGTTGAAAGCTTTACAGATGCAGATTAGGCATTATCGATTGATGATAGGAGATTTACTACTGGAACTGTATTTTTGTATGGGTAAATCCGAAAACTTAGAGATATAAGAAACAAAATATGGTAGCTAGAAGTAGTGCTATAGCAGAATTCAGAGTTGTCCCACTGGGAATATATGAATGATTGTGATTAAGAAAGCTCCTTGAACAATTACATATCACAATAAAGTTGCCAATCAAACTTTAATGTGACAATAAAGCAGCTATCAACATATTCCTTATTCGAGTTTAGCACGATCAAACTAAGTATGTAGATGTAGACAAACACTTTATCAAAGAAAAGGTAGAGCGAGGAAATATTTATATGAACTATGTCCCACACAAACACAACTTGCAAATATCTTCACCAAAGGATTGCAAAGACAGAAATTCGATGATTTTATCTCCAAGTTGGATATGATAAACAGTTAAGATCCAACTTAGGAGGGCATTGCAAATCTCAAATTGATTGGGAATTTAATTAGGGAGATTGTAAAAAATTTGAAGGGTTAAGTTAGTGATACTCCTTTTGTTAGGAATACCTAATCCTAATGAATTTAGGAAATCAAAATCATGACACGAAACCGGTTAAAAAACTTCAAAGAGTATTTCAAATAGATCTTGGGAATGACCAGTTGTATTTGTGGACGACACAGTAAAAGCTTTTTCAATTCCTTTATTAACGGTTACCATAGATAGAATATGGTAATTTGATTAGAGTTCACAGGAGATTTTTATTTTATTTTTATTTATTATTATTATTATTTTTAGTAAATTTCTTTCCTCTACTATAAATAGGAGCTATGTATTGTACATCATTAACATGAAAAGTATAGTGAAATCCTTTTCTCGGCCTCGCCTTCACAAATTCAGCTCAATTCTGATTTTCTCATGCACTTGTCACCTACCTTTCGAGCCTCATTTTTTTAATAAAGCAAAACAAGAATACCATAAATATCTTTAACGAGAAAAGTCTAGCTATTGACTTGGATGTCATTGACCCTATCTATGTTTCTATGATGGCCCAAGAACACGCTCATTCTTCAGCCGAAGGGGATGAGGGGGGAGGCTCTTGAGGAAGCCCCGTCCGCCCTTCTCTATTTTGATTTTGAGGGATCCCTCATATTGAGGAGGCTTCCTGAACTTGTAACAAAGCCAAACGAAGCTAAGTTCTATCGTGAATTCAAAGTCGAGAACTAAACAAAGTGAGAAAAATAGGTCTCAAAGAAAGTAAAGGCCATCCAACATCCGTTCCCTTTGACTCAGAAATGTTCGAGTCAGCCTCTCTATTATGAAGTCGTTGTTTCCTAGCCCTCCGTCTGTCCTGATATTGAGGCAAGCCCGCTACCCCTTACATTTGGGTAATCCCGATTGTCTTACTAATATTACACCATGAAAAAGCCTCACACGACGATCACAGGCTGAAACCATTTAATTTGTATGATCAAGAGTTCATTATTAGGCATACTTATTATTTTCTCTAACATATCCCTCTGCTCAACATCCAAATTTATCCATAAGCCACCAAACCAATCAGAGGCACTTGTTGTCACATAAAAAAATGCTGTATTACACGAAGTAAATGAGTTTTCTGCAATTCAACCAAATGGAAGCAATATTCTACGGGTAACTTGTCCTGTCCCGAACAATGCAAAAACATCATATGATATATTGAGCGTCTATGGCTCAAAAACTCATGTTGGTTCTGAGTCCCGAATGCGAAAAGCATGTAACATTAATGCCAACCCTCGATACACAAACAAAACGAACAAGTGCTTACTCAATATCTAAGTTAGATTTTATTTGTGGTTAACCTACATTTAGTTTTCATTCACTCCTATTCACCCTTCTCTAGATTGGTAAATTTGATTTTTCTCTTAGAAAAGGAAAGGAAGAAATTATTTTTTGAAAAATTCTAAGTAATCTCTTTCCAATACATTTACTGTTACAACCCAATTTTTCTTAGTCAAAAGTCAAGAGTTGAATTTTCAAAGTCAAAGTTACATAGGGACTTAAATGAAATAAATGACTTTATTGGGACTTGAATTGACTAAAATATTTTATTGGGGTTTATTTTGCAATTGACAATATATGAGGGTTATATTGGATACAATTGAAAGTTGAAAATTTACTTATACATTTTTGGGAAGTTTAGGATTTAAATGTTAGCTCATGTTAGAGAAGAGGGACTTTTCTTGCAATTTGGAGTTAGTGGGTTTTTAATGCCTTTGACCATCACTTTTTCTCTCATAAATCACACACACACACACTAGAAGAAAGGAAGAACCGGCAGAGAAGAAGAAAAAGGGAAAGAAAAGAGGGAAGAAAAAGAAGAAAAGGAAAGAAAGGAAAAAGAAAGGAAAAGAGGTAGTGGCTATTCCAATTTCATTTTCAATTTGTCTAATTTCTTTAAAAGATATGGTATGATTTATGCTTAAATTTTTAGCGTTTTGATTTTATTTGTTTAATTTTCAGATTTTAAGGAAGGGATATATATGTTTTCAAGTCAATATTTTTGAATTGGAGATGCTATTTACACTAAGGTAAGAAATACCAATTTTGGGCAAAACCCTAGAATTTTCATTTGGGTTTTTGAATGAGTTTAGTTAACGGGAAAATTTTGTAAGGATGAAATACTCATTTGAAGGCATGAATTTATGGATCAAGATGGGAAATGAAATTGGCTAAATTATGATTATTAATTTTACTAGTTTGGAAGAAAGAATTATTTTTATGTTTGGAGTGAAGATTATTGTAATGAATTAGCTATTAAGAAATGGACTAGAAAGTGAAATTAGTTTGAAGTGATTAAAGGAAATTGGGGGAAAATATTATTCAAGTATCGAGAAGTCAAGTTTTAGTATTCGATTACTAGTATTAAGAAATACTTAGTATGGAAGTTGTTAAATTAGTTATTTTATATCATATTTCAGGCGGTAACGTGAAAGCTGGGCAAGGCTGGTAAAATTGAATCAGATTGCTATTCATAGATCTGTGAGTGGAGAATCTATATTTTAAAAAAGAAGATTTTCTTTTTATTTTAAAGCATATTAATTACATGAAATGCCTTATTTTCGAGAACTAGTAAATGAGCATGATTGTTTTGAAATTATCATTTAAATAATTGATGTGATTATCCTACTCTAGTGCACTGAGGGGCTACGGCCGTGTACTAGAGTCATGTATTTAACTCCTATACACTGAGGGGCCACAGCCGTGTATAAAGGTAACTCTTATTCACTGAGGGGCTACGGCCGTGTGTAAGGGTACCTATCATACACTGAGGGGCTACAGCCGTGTATAAGAATGATTATGTTGTTTTCATCTTGTACACTGAGGGGCTACGGCCGTGTACAGAATGTTGATCAGACGGTTTATGTGCATATGATTTTATAGCTTTCAGATCATCGTAGATGATTACATGGAGTATATTTTGATGTGAATTTTAAGTATATAGCGGATTATTAGCTTTCAGCTTACATTTTCCCGTTTACAGTTCAGCTTATGGATTTCAGATGATGATTTTAGCTTAGTGAGTTTGTCTAATGTTCTCACTCATCTTGTATTAATTATTATCATCTCTCTTTTATATATCAGCTTGAGTCTAATTTATGATTTAGTACCAGAACTTTGAGTTTATACGATGTTATGATACAGACATCAAGAATAATGAGTACATTAAGGTAAATGTAGCTCTGTGTATGTATGACCAGATTATAGAATTTAGTTATTAAGTTCTAAGAATAAAGTTTTCAGTTTAGAGTATTGAGTAAGAACAATATTTCATAGATTATCATGGGTACCAAAATTTGTTGTACTTTACAGTTATTTATCTCGAATAAAGAACAAAGAATCTTATGATGCAGTCATGTTTTAGTTCTAAAGGTTTTATCAAATTTCAAAATTCTCAAAGTGTTAATAGAGCAAGAATTTTAAGAAAATATGCGTGAATGGAAAAAGTTTACTTATTTGCAAATTATCCACTCACTGAGCTATTAGCTCATATTGCTTTTACCCTTTTTCCTTATGAGACAGATAGTAGCTGAGTTGAGCACTACTGGGCCAGTTGATCTATCGAGTTGAACTATAAATTGTCAAGCATTGTATGACTCATCTTATCAGTGTAATAGCTCATATTTTGGAATAGACAGCTCTTTTGGTCAGAAATTAGTTCCATGTTTTGGGCCTGCTATGTTTTGTATATATTATGCATTTTGGGTACCGTGGTTTATAAATTGTTGCGAATGTCAAATTGTCAGTGTTGTATTTGAATAGTTGATTTTCTGTGAGCCAGTGTACCCTATTTTAAACTATATGTATCTGTTTGGGATATTGAATTATATATTTCAAGTGGTTTTAGTCTATAATTCAGGGGGAAATCTGCCAAAATTTTTACAAAGCACATCATAGTCAATACAAGTCAATGTTGCCTTGATGGTGGGTCCGGCACTTAACTGGTATCTATCATCGGCGCACAACACGTGTCGAGTTTATTAGGATGATTCGGGACGGGTCGTGTCATTTACATTGCAAGACTACTTTTTATTTTTATTTTTTTTCCTTGAAAAGTTCACTGGAGTACTAGCTACGGTAAACTGAGTCATCTCAGATATTGTAGGATTCATATTTTTTTCTTCAATATCGCAATGTCTGTGAACTTTGCTAAAGTCAACTTTATTTGCTAATCAGAATGTCATCTCCTGCAATTTTTATGGTATATGAATTTGTCAAAGAAAGGGACGCGTGTCCATTGCCTGGTCTTGTATTAGTATAAATAATTTAAATAATTCGTTATTTTACTTTGTAAACTTCTGGGCAACTTCAATTAATTGTTTTGAACATTCGGTTAACTGCAAAGATGTCTCGAATAATGAGAAGTCAATGACTTACTTGGAATTGAAGAAAGGCATGCATGTTCGTATCTCCAATAACGTGTTTGAATCTAGAATCTGAATATATGTTATCCTATTTAACTTCGTCAAGCTTAAAGTAATTACATATGGAAAAAAGAACTTTGCATAGAAAAATGTCTCCTCTTCTATACTTCCTACTCATATTCTCTGCAGGATTCATGCAAGCAGAAGCAAAAGAAAATAAGAAAAGATGCAATTGTCCAGGAGATTGTCCTCACATATTTGGCAGGATAGGGAGTGTAATTGATCAAAGTTCTCGTGTCGGAAAGGAGCAGAAAATTGCCATTCAAATGGCTGTCGATGACTATACTCGGTGGTTAAATTGTTCAAAGCTGGATTTGCACATTAAAGATTCAAATGGAAAGTTTGCTCGAGCAGCTTCCACTGGTAAGTAAATCTCCTGTTAACTCACAAAACAAAGAAACTTGCGCATCATTTGTTAACATTTCTTGAATTGGCATAAAAGATCGTATAGATTTTTTTATTTTTTATTTTTTGAAAGTGTCACTTATAGATCATTTGTAAAGAAGACTTCATTATTGATCTGAAACACAATCCAAGAAGAGTTTGAACGATCTCAATCCAATAGTTCGGTTAATTATGGGATATCTGTTAAATTTTAGTTGTTATAAAAGTCGCTAAATACAATCTCCAATTATTTTGCAGCAATTGACCTTGTTAAGAAAGAAAATGCACAAGCAATTATTGCAGCATTAACATTGGAAGAAGCCACTTTTCTCTCAGAATTTGAAGAAGTCAGCACTACTCCCATAATCACCATTGGCTCAGCAGCCATTTCTCCATCACAACTATTTCTTCAACCATCATCTGTTTCCCAGATGAATAATGATATCTCGATTCGAATGCAATGCGCTGCAGCAATTATAGGATATTTCAGGTGGCGAAGAGTCACAGTCATCTATGAACAAAGCAACAGCTTTTACTCGGATTCTAGACTAAAAACACAACTTTCTGAGTCACTAAAAGCCTTCAATTCTTTTGTTGAATTTGATCTAGCTTTTCCTTCCCTAACCTCTTTACGAGAACCCGAAGCCTTCATCCAAGAAGAGTTGAAGAAACTCAAAACCAAAAGAAATGGGATTTTTTTACTAATGCAGTCATCTTTGGAGTTCTCTACAATTCTTTTTGAGAAGGCAAAGAAAATGGGACTCATGGAAAAAGGTTATGCGTGGATTCTGTTCGAAGATGTTGTTAGTCTTCTCGATTCCCTTGAGCCATCTTCTATAAGAAATATGCAAGGGGTCATTGGATTTAAGACGAATTTTGTAGACAAGAGCAAAAATTTCCAAGATTTTAAATTCAGGTTTCGAAAAACGTTCCAGTCATCATATCCTGAAGAAGAATATCCAAATCCAAGCATGTACGCTCTTCAAGCATATGATGCTACAGCGGTCATTGCAAAATTCTTGCAAAATTCAAAAGGAAAAATGAACTCAAGTGCATTTATAAAGTATATTTCCTCTAGTAATTTTGAAGGTCTTATTGGAAAAATCAGCTTCAAGAACCAGAAAACATCACAAAATACGACCTTTCAGATCATTAACGTGATTGGGAAAAGTTATAGACAGGTAGCATTGTGGTCACCAGAGCATGGCTTCTCAAGAGATTTCATAGATCATAAGAGAAAGGGTACCAGGAGAAAGGGAAAAAAATGTAAGGAATTGGCATCAATTTACTGGCCAGGAGGTGAACAAACGGTTCCACAGGAATCCGAATTGAAAATCGGAGTACCTGCTATGGCTGCTTTCCATCAGTTTGTGCACGTGAGCCATGACCAAGTAACAAACCAAACATTCTTCAGCGGATTTTCCCTTGAAGTTTTTGAAGCCGCAATTAAGCTGCTTCTGTATCGTTTGCCCCATGTTTTCGTTCCATTTAATGGCACCTACGATGAACTGGTTATTGCAGTTTATAATAAGGTAAAACATGTTCCTTCTCTCTTTGCATGACAATAAATTCCAGTTTAACAACTATAATTTCGAGCATGTTTGGTAAGTAGTAATTCATCAATTTTAGGCTTTCAAGGAAAATATTGAAAAAAACAAATAATAATTTAAGGAAGGAGCATGACTTACTTAACTTCCAAGACTCAACTAACCAATGTGAGGCTTTAAAGTCCCTTGACAAAACTAACTCATTTATTGCTATATCCCTGAATCTGAAACTCCTGTTTTTTATTAGACTTTGGATGCCGCAGTTGGTGACATGAATATATTGGAAAATCGATATCGTTATGCTGATTTTTCGCTACCCTACTTGGACAATCAAGTTGTTATGGTAGTACCTGCACATAAAGATTTGAAACGGCAAGGATTCATTGTGGTGGAGGCCTTTGAATGGAAATTATGGGCGGTTCTGGCAGCATTGAGCCAATGCACGGCAGCCATTATTTATTTCAATGAGAAGGTGAACGGCAATACAGAGTTCGCAGATTCGTTTCCTGAGATGATTGGCTCCATACTTTGGCTTTCTATCACTGTTCTATCATTTGCACATAGTAAGTACCTACTCGATATGACAAAGTTGACACGTCAATACATTTGTTTCCTGAGTATTATACGTGTGTTTGATTTTATTTGAATGGGAAAAATCTTACAAATTGTTAACCTTCTATGCCCAGGAGAATCTATCAGAAATAATCTATCTCGATTGACGCTTGCAATATGGTTGTGTGTGATTGTGGTTGTAACAGCATCTTATACTGCAGTTCTGAGTTCTATGATGACAGTTCCAAGGTTGAAACCATCTATAGTAGATATTGACTATCTTAAGAATTCTAATGCAACTGTTGGATGCAACGGAAAGGGTTTCGTTGTGAAGTATCTCCTCGAAACTTTGAAATTCAATCGAGCAAACATTAAAAAAATTGCTTCTATCAGTGACTACCCGGAAGCATTTGAAAAGGGGCAGATTTCCGCAGCATTCTTGATTAGTCCACATGCCAAAGTGTTCGTTGCAAAAAATAAACGCTACGTTGTGGCAAAACCTAGCTTCGAAGTTGGAGGCCTTGCTTTTGTAAGATTCAAGCCCATGTTAATATGCTTTCTCCATCTTTTTCATTTTATGGGAAGACATAAAAGCACATTTTGACAGCCAATTCTGAAGGGAACTAGACAAAGACTTTCTTTTCATTAATTACTTGATGAAAATACTGATGCAGTTTGGTTATCTTCCAGGTATTCCCGAAGGGTTCGTCTTTGACTGATGATATATCACAAGCAATTCTAAATATGAAAGAAAATGGAGCAATAAATCAAATGGAAGAGCGCATTCTTTCCTTGCCAACTCGCACCTCATCAAGCGAACCAGACGACAAGCTGAGTTTAGGCCTTGAGCATTTTTCCGGTCCGCTAATGGTTACAAGTGCTATTGACGCAATTGTGTTATGTGTCATAATTATTCGTGTAATACATAAAGGATGGTCGAGTGATGGTTATATACATTCATGGCTGATGCATAGAAGGATTTGGTGGTGGGTGTCATTTCTTTTCGCTAAAAGCCATGTAAGATTTGGCTCAAGATTCTTTAGGCCACCCATCGTTATGAGGCAAAATAATCAAATCCATATTGTCCAACAGTAAGGGAAAATCGAGGGGGTTAATAGCAAACAAAAAGCATGATCTAACCATGTCTGTACATTCGTTTTTCCCAGATGTCGTATAGAAAGACAGAGCTTTCAATGTAATTATTTCATTTGGGTCTCCAATTTGAGCTTCGTATGCACTATGACTATGGTTTGAAAGTATTCCAACATCTATGGGTTAGTAAAAGTTGAAACTGAGAGTTTACTGCTTTGTAAAATTTGAAAAATTGTTGGCTGTAGTTTCAGGCTTTCAGCTGATAGATTCCCAAAATATGATGTATATAAATGAAAGTAATTGCAGCATTTCAATCTAATAACAAAGGGAACAAACAGAGGAAAACAGAGAGAAAGAAGATTGTACAACTTCTTTGAGAAAGCAGCTATAACTTCCCCTTGTGAGTTCGACACATCCCTCCAACTCCATACCCGTTTCGCTTTATCTTGAATTGCAGCATCTACATTCAATTTAATTCAGCCCCTGCTTGTTGAGTCAATTTTCGTTCTTCTCCGACTGGCCGAAGTGCTGTAGTGCAAATGCAGTCGGCGAAAAACTTTGAAATTCAGTTAGCAAAGACAGTGATTCCTCTAATATTTTATCAGGTATCTTTAGCCATTTTCCGAGCACAAAATCATTTATCGGTTGCAACCAGCTTCGTGCTATTACCAGAAATAATTCCATGCCAACGGGCTCCAATATCTCATACATCATACATGTATAGGAACTACTCTGGCACAACTTGAGCAGGCTATACCAGCCTCATTATCAAACACACTCATTTCCGTTGTTGAGAATTATAAACCTATTTGAAGAAAGAAAAATAAACACTCAAAAACACGCAATATTTACAGAGGTTCACCTCAATAAGAGACTACATCCTTTCCCCCCATTACAATAATTCACTATGATGAAAAAAAGGTTTACAAGAAAAAATTGTACCCCTATCTTCTCTAGCCTCTCTTTCTCTCTTTTTGATGATAATAATAAAGCGTAAAGACAGCTTCCTATTTATAGATAAATTAGGGCAAAATTAAATTATACAATGACTTCAATTCGTTAATAGAATTTTTTGGATAAACTACAGCCACAGTGGAATTTCCACCATCCAACCAGGTTATTTGTAGTGCATTCAATATTGTAATTTAGAGACTTTCTAGTGAGTTTATAACTGGATTTACAGAGTACACACCGGAACCGTACATAGTGCCACTGTTAAGAATAATGCTTTACACCTTCAGGCCCAATGGTGGAACCCAACAGTTGAACCCAAGTTTGTTTGTGACTCGGTTTGCCCCCACTTGTGCAGACTCGTGTTCCCTCCAAATGCGACTTTAATTTGTTTTAACTGGATGGATCAGATGGTGCAAAGTGGAGTCGGCTGAACCGTTGGATGCAAGTGACTTTTCATTATACTTAGCCCTAGACTTTTCACTTACCGATTATTCGAAAGACTTCTAAGGTTATCTTCTTCTTTTGCTCTCTGTAATTTTCTCTCTCGAAAATTTTTGGTTTTTGGGTTGTAATCTTTGAATCATTAGATGTTCTTGGTGAGATCTAATTTCGTGTACTTGGTGTAGAGATTATATCTGTTCTTGGTTGAACAATGAGGTTCGATTACTTGGTGTAATCTGTTTGTTCGATTCTGTGAGGGAAAAATAGGGTTTGAGGGTTGATCTTTTTAGATCTGTGGTTTGTAAACCTTGTACTGATATTCTATTGCTAGTTTCTAGTGGATTAGATCGTTAACCACTTTGGTGGAAGCTCAACGTGGTGGCGTAGCCCATTTTTGGATGAACATTCGGGCCTACGGACGAAAAATCCTTGTGTTCTTTTATTTTTCTGTGTTTTTCTTGGATTATTGGGACTATTAATGCCAATAGTGGTATCAGAGCATCGTCGATCTGATATATAATCCGGTTCTTTGGTTTCTGGTGCTCTTCTTGACGGTCAAAGGCTTAGATCTTTATAGATCTACACTAGTACGGGTTCTATCCACTGCTTCTGCTGGAAAGTAAAATAGTTTTAGTTTATATATATACACACACACACACACACACACACACACACACTCACACACTCAAGAACCCTTGGTTGATAAGGTTCCTTTCGAGAGAACCTAAGAAGCTTAGGGGACAAGATCAACGGCTTCTTCAAGATTACTTTAATAGCCAAATCTTGTTATGTGTTATCTGTCTCTGTGTGTGTTAATTTCTGTGCACTTGAGTGTGATTCGGTTTGCTGCACATTAATCTGTTGTGTGTGCACATTTGTAAAATCCTATTCTGCAGCTCTTGTACTTCGAACTTTTAAACTATTTCAAAGCTGTTGAAAATAATTTTTTGTTTTCAAAACCAAAAATGACAAGTACAAAAGTTGACATAGAAATCTAGAATGGAAAAGGGGATTTTACTCTTTGGAGTCAAAAAATGAAGGCACTTCTGATGCAACATAAATGTGTAAAAGTACTTGATGAGTCTTGGGAAGAAGAAATCATAGAAAGAAAAAGAAATGAACAAATTGATACTGCATGGAGTCTGATTTTCTTACACCTGTCTAATAGTGTCATTAGAGAAGAGGAAAAATTGAGACTACTGAAGAAATCTGGACAAAACTCGAATCCCTTTATAAAACAAAATCACTTCCCAACAAATGTTATCTTTGGAAACAATTCTTTAGCTTCAAGTTTGACCCACATCTTGATCTTGAAACAAATCTTAACAGAATTAACAAATTAACTCAAGATCTCACAAATAATAGTGAAACACTCTCTGGTGAACAACAGACAGTAGCCTTATTATTTGCCTTACCTGAAAAATATAAAGACTTAAGAAACGCTCTAGAATATGGAAAGACTTCCATTACTGTGGATGCTATTGTTGCTTCTTTAAGAAATAAAGAACTTGAGTTTCAAAGTGAATCTAAAACCTCCTCTGTTGGTTTTGGTCATAATGTCAGAGGAAATAATCAATTTAAAAGAAACAACAATAACTTTTCAAATAAAAACCTTGGAAAGCCAAAAAGAGTACAATGGAAATTTTCATAAAGGTAAGACCAGATTTAATAATAATAATAATAATAATAATAATAATAATAATAATAATAATAATAATAATAAGGCTGAAGGAAAGAAATGCTACTTTTGTGGAATGATGGGTCACTTCATAAAAGACTGCATTAAAAGGATTGATGAATTGAAAAACATCAATAAAATTAAAGGTGGAGCTGCTATTGCTTATGAAGAAGCCGCAAGCTCAAATGGACAAATCTATGTGGCTAGTCAATTTTTAGTCAATGATGAATGGATCCTTGATTCAGGGTACACATTTCACATGACACCCTGTAAGGAATACCTTACTAACTTTTCTGAAATTAATGGTGGTCAAGTCATATTGGAAAATGATTTTACTTGTAAAATCAAAGGAATTGGCAAAGTTGATTTAAAACTAGAAAATGGAAATGTACTGGCTCTAAACAAGATCAGATACATTCCCAAACTAAAGAGAAATTTGATCTCTTTATGTGTACTAGATGATGAAGGTTTTGATACTACAATAAACAAAGGCAATTTGAAATTACAAAGGAACTTGACAAAGATCACTTGTGCTGAAAAATCTAATAGAATCTATGTTTTAAAAACTTTGCCAATGATAAACCAACCTATTTCAGTAGCAATTTCTCAACCTGATAAATTTGAAATTTGGCACAAAAGTTAGGACATGTGAGTGATAAGAATTTATACATTCTTAAGAAACAAGGCCTTTTAGGAAATGAAAAAATTGAAAGGGTGTCCTTCTGTGAACACTGCATTTATGGAAAACAAAGAAAACTACCATTTGGTACAGGTGTCCATAAATCTAAGTCTATTCTTGAATATCTGCATGCTGATCTGTGGGGACCAGCTACTGTGAATACCTATTCTTGTTTCAAATACTTCTTACTGATTGTTGATTTTTTAAAGAAGACTTGGGTTACCCTTTTGAAAAATAAATCAGATACTTTTCAAAACTTCATAACATAGAAAATCTTAATTGAAAACCAGGTAAACAAAAAGGTTAAAGCTCTTAGAACTGACAATGGTATTGAATTCTGCAATGAGAAATTTGATAATTTCTGTAATAATAATGGATTTTTAAGGCGCAGACCTATACCCCCACAACAGAATGGTCTAGCATAAAGGATGAATAGGACCCTATTAGAAAGAGTTAGGTACATGTTAATTAGTGCAGGACTTCCAAAATTGTTCTGGGGGGAAGCTGTTAAAACTGCATCATATTCGATAAACAAATGCCCCACAAAATCCTTGAATTATGACACTCCTGATCATGTTTGGAGTGGTCACCCTGTTGATTACTCCAAACTGAAATTTTTTGGTTGTGCAGCTTATGTATACCAAAATGAGGGTAAACTTGAACCTAGATCAATTAAAGGCATTTTCTGAGGATATGGTGAGGGTGTAAAAGGATCAGGGAGGTTACAGAGTCATAATCAGCAAAAATGTAATCTTTAATGAAATGGACATGCCCCGTACTAAAGAAAAAACACCTGCAGCCCCTCAAATAAGTGAAAATTATTCATATCTTCAATCTGAAATCTCTCTACCCATCTCAGATCTTGAAACTAATGACCGGATTGAGGTGGAGCCTACTCATGAATAGGAAATAGCCCCTGAAGCTGAATCTGAACATGAGATTGAACCTGAACTTGTTCCACTAATAAATCCCTTAGAAGACTATCAACTTGTTAGAGATAGAGGAAGGAGGGAGATAAGACCACCTGCGAGATATAATGAATTAGCTTTTGTTATTGCACTAAACATTCATAATTTTTTAGATAATGAACCTAATTCCTATGAAGAGGCCATTGGGGGAAAAAATTCAAATTATTGGCTTGCAGCTATGAAAGATGAAATGCTTTCACTTGACAAAAATAAGACTTGGGTCTTAGTTAATAAATCAAAAGGGGGAAAGGTTATTGACTATAAATGGATTTACAAAATCAAAGAAGGTGACTCAAAAGAGGGAAATGTCAGATTTAAGGCTAGACTAGTTGCAAAGGGCTTTAATCAAAGAGAAGGAATTAACTATAATGAAACTTTCTCACCTGTAGTCAAATACACTTCTATAAGAATTCCTCTTTGCATTGTTTCACAATTTGATTTTGAACTAGAACAGTCAGATGTAAAAACTGCCTTTTTACATGGTAACTTAGAAGAAAAAATTTATATGACCCAATCTAAAGGTTTTGAACAAAAGGGAAAGGAAAGCTTTGTGTGCCTTTTGCAAAAATCACTCTATGGACTGAAACAGGCCCCTAGACAGTGGTATATCAGGTTTGATACTTTTATAAAAGGTCTTGACTTTAATAGGAGTGAATATGATCATTGTTTCTATTATAAAGGTGGTAGAGGTCCTGATTCTTACTATCTTTTGTTTTATGTTGATGATATGTTACTTGCTGGGTGTGATGTAACTGAAATAAACAATATTAAGCAAAAGTTAAAATAAGAGTTTGAAATGAAAGACCTAGGATCAGCTAAAAGAATTTTAAGAATGAAAATTAGGAGAAATAGAAGTGAATGCACACTATTTCTAACTCAAGAGTCATATATTTCCAAAATTCTATGTAAATTTGCTATGGATAAGGCAAAAGAAGTTACCTCACCACTTGGCAGTCATTTTAAATTCTCTACTGAACAGTGTCCTAAAACAGAGAAAGAAAGAAATAGGATGGATAAAATCCCTTATGCAAATGTTGTAGGTTCAATAATGGACATTATGGTTTGCACAAGGCATGATCTTGCTTTTTCTATAAGTGTATTGACTAGATATATGAGTAATCCTAGTGAACAACATTGGGAAGGCATGAAATGGCTACTTAGATATCTGAAGGGAACTTCAAACTTAGGACTAATGTTTGGAAAAAGGAAAACTGGAATTAAACTAAAAGGACTTGTAGATTTTGATTTTGCTGGTAATTGTGATAATAGAAAATCAACATCTGCATATGTCTTTACTTTAAATGATATCTGCATAAGCTGAAAATCATAGCTACAAAAGATAGTAGCTCTGTCTTCTACAGAGGCTGAATATATTGCAGCCACAGATGCTGTTAAGGAAGATTTTGGTTGAAAAATCAGTTGGATGAAAATTAGCTTTACTGGTAATGATGCTTTAATACATTCCGACAACCAATCTACTATACATCTTACTAGAAATCCTATTTTTCATGATAGAACAAAACACATAGATGTCAAATTTCATTTTATAAGATACATTATAGAAAAGGAGATTATAAAAATTGAAAAGATTTTCACTAAGTGTAATTCAGCAGATATGGGTACAAAAATACTTCCTGCACATAAATTTAGGGATTGTTTAAATCTCTTAAATGTTATTTCTAACTGAAATTTCTTTTGCAGGTACATAGAGCATATGATATCAAAGGAGGAGTTAACCTCTAATCCACAATAAAACCCAAAGGTGTCAAGTAAGGTGGAGATTGTTAAGAATAATGTTTAACACCTTCAGGCCCAATGATGGAACCCAACAGTTGAGCCCAAGTTTGTTTGTGACCCGGTTTGCCCCCACTTGTGCAGACTCGTGTTTCCTCCAAATGTGAATTTAGTTTGTTTTAACTGGATGGATCAAATGGATGCAAGTGGAGTCGTCTGAACCGTTGGATGCAAGTGACTTTTCATTATACTTAGCCCTAGACTTTTCACTTACCGATTATTCGAGAGACTTCTAGGGTCATCTTTTTCTTTTGCTCTCTGTAATTTTCTCTTTCAAAAACTTCTGGTTTTTGGGTTGTAATCTCTAAATCATTAGATGTTCTTGGTGAGATCTAGTTTCATGTACTTGGTATAGAGATTATATCTGTTCTTGGTTGAACAGTGATGTTTGATTACTTGGTGTAATCTGTTTGTTCAATTCTGTGAGGGAAAAATAGGGTCTGAGGACTGATCTTTTTAAATCTGTGGTTTGTAAACCTTGTACTAATATTCAATTGCTGGTTTCTAGTGGATTAGAGCGTTAAACACTTTGGTGGAAGCTCAATGTGGTGACGTAGCCCATTTTTGAGTGAACATCCGGGCCTACAAACTAAAAATCCTTGTGTTCTTTTATTTTTCTGTGTTTTTCTTGAATTATTGGGACTGTTAATACCAACAGCCACATTTAAATAATTTAAAAAATTAAAGAACAAGAATTGCAGAAAAAAATAGAAAAAAATTATTATTGATTAATTTGAAATAATTAAAATTAAAAATAAATATTATTTAATTAAAATTGAACAAAATACATTTTATTTTAAAACAAAATGTATTTTAAATCGAAGAAAAAATTATTTATAATATAAAGAAGCAAAAAATTTTAAAACAATTTTCAAGAAATATATATAATAAAAAAAACAAATGAAACAGAAGAAAATTACAAAAATTAAATAGAGAATATAGAAATATTATTTAATTAAAATTAATTAATTTTATCCTAAAGAGAAAAGAATAAAAAAATTTTAAATTGAAAAAAATTATTTATAATATAAAGAAAACAATCTAAAAAAAATGGGGAAATAAAATTCTCTTCGTGGATGGAGAAAATTTCTCCAAATTCTCTCCATCCACGAGAATCTTTTTCTTATTTATTTATCTTTTAATTTGTTTTGTTTGTATTATAAATATATTTTTTCAATTTAAAAATCTTTTTATGATATAACTTAATTTTTTCAATTTTAATTAAATAATATTTATATATTATTATTTTTTTTGAAAATTGTTTTAAAAATTATTTTTTTCTTCATATTATAAATATTTTTTTATTTAAAATTCCTTTATTTCTTTTCGTTTTATGATTAAACGTAATTTTTTCAATTTTAATTAAATAATATTTATTCTTAAATTTTAACTATTTCAATTTAATTAAAAAATTTTATAGTAATTTTTTTTAGTTTTATTTTTATTTCCTTTTTCTATCCCTTTTTATATGTATTCACAGTACAAAACGATATCGTTTTCACATGTTGAATTGTAAAATGACCCGTTTATTCCATTAATCCTCATTTACCTTAAAAGAGAGGATGCCAAAGGACTATTCGCCTTGAATTAGAGGTTTCACACTACTGTAGCGCAACTCGTTCCGCCCATGAAAGGATGTTTAATTTTACTGTTCATGCAGACAAATAATTAATGTAGCTGATTTTTGTTGACTTATTGAAGTTTCAAAAGAATAATTTAGTGTACCTGCTACTTTATTCCCTTTTATCTCATTGATATTCCCTTTGTTCTCACTGATAGCTTCCAAAATTGAAAGAAACCTTCCGCAGCTGATTCTCTACTGCTACTTTATTGTTAATGTAATGAAGTTTGCTCTCCCAAAATCTCTTTCCAACAAACCAAAGACGCTCTTCTCCCTCTCTCGACGAAAGCACTAAAATGTTCATAAAGAACAACAAATCCATCGTTGGACGACTATACGAAACTGCAAGAATTAGAAATTTGCAAAAGGAGCTTGTCTATCGACAAGGAAACTGGAACAACAAGAAATCTGGAAACAAATTAGATAGTCGGAACGTGAAGTACCATTACGAGCTTCGTTAGATTAGTTAGTTGTTTTTATTTTTTTCGTATGCGTTCTTTTCGTTTGGTTGGTATTCTGTCTTTGTTCGTATTTTCTTGTTTTTCTCCACTTTAATCCTTCTCTTTTCTTTACCCTCTTAACCCAATTTATTATTATTTTTTTTTTTTGACTCATTTTCTTTTGTTATGATATTTCTTGTCAAGTCTGGGGCTTTATTTATATGTGTTTCTGCAGCTGGATGATTTTGTTTCAAAGCTTTATTGTTAAGAAACTGAAGATGATTTCAATTCTCATATTTTTAATCTCAACTCCTAAATTTTTGTTGATGGTTGTTGGAACTAATGGTTATTAGATTTTCATGTTCTAAATTCATTGCAATTTACTCTTTCAATTTATTATTTATTTTTAAGATTTAACATTGATCACTGAAATAGAGGCAACCAGATTTATTATTTATTATTTTTGGATTTAATACATAATCATGCTTAACATACCTTTGGTTCACCGACAAATTAGTAAAGCAGCATGGCATCTTAAATTAATTTAAGTTGTCATTGAGGTTGTGTTGGTTGAACTTAACTACATTACTTAGTAATTTTCATTTGAAGTAATTTTTTGCACATCCGAAATTTTATCCATGTATATGTGTTCTTGGATGTGTGTTAGGTCTAAATAGGTCCTACAAGGCTCGAACCTCTGATAAGAAGGCAATTCCATAGCCACATATTTAACATATGCGTTGTACTCAAACTTAGTTTTATTTATTTATAATTCTTTGTAGGATTATCTTTGACATATATAAAAGAGAGGAAAAGTCAGCCACCAAAGAGCTATTTAAGAAAATTCCTCTGTTGGTTCCTAAGGTGGCATTCCTCACACTCATTCTTGTTATTATGTCTGTTGTATATGTTTACTCGTATGGGTTGAACAAACAATTTTCAGGTTTCTCATTAGATAAATGGTGATGACTGTGGTTTTTACGTTCTTTAGTACATAAAATTATTCTAAAAGAGTGCTCCGAAAAATTTTAACATCTTTGAGGGCTACCCATATTTTGTAAGTTTTCTTTTCCTTTTTCGGTTCAACGAAATTTGTCTATTTTCAAGGGATGTGTTGTGTACATATATAGCTATATTTTTGTTTGAGTTAGCATATTAGGCAAAATAGAAAATGGAGACGTGTTTTGATGTTTGTTAGTGCCTATTTCTAAGTTGGTGTCTGAATAAGGAGATTATAGTTTGAATAGACCAAGAATTGCTTTCTTATTATAGAGTAGTTTATTGAGAATACTTAAATACTTTGTGTTGGGTTTTTGATACCCAATAAATCCCGGGCTATGATGTTAACGTGGGTTAATATTATTTCATAGGTATAGGCCGATGAATGAAATAAGTCCAACAACCAAGTCCATGAGCTACACCCGGCCCAATTGTATTCCTTATGGATGGCTTGAATCTTGGCCCGTTTACCCCTTTAATGGCCCAACTTAAAGCCTAACCCTAGAGTATATATATGAATATAACCCTAGCCTCTTTGTGATGATGATTGTGTGATTTTGAGAGAAGAAACTAGTGAATCCCGGCTGCCCCCCTTTTGTGTGAGAAAAAGGTGTCCAGAAGTGTCCAAAACGCTTGTATAACGTGTGCAATTGGTAGTTCTTTCATAGTATACCTTTGTGGTGTCTTCTCCTAGCCTTTGTGGCCATAAATCATCATCCCTTCTTGTCCTATGTGGGTAAAATTGTATAGCAACCAAGGTGAATCAATTGGTTATGGTTTGGAGCCGTTTGGATTGGCTGTTGGTAGAGAAAGGTACGTTGGACTGAGCCTGGAAAACTACCGTTTGAAGATCTTTTGAGAGAGCTTCCGCAACACTTTGGTATTCTGTCTTTAGTTAATGATTATTGTCCTTGTCTGTGAAAGTCAATTAGCTAACTTATAATTTATTTTGTAGTAAGAAAAGAAATCGGTTTATCTCCTTAGGAAATGGAGCTAAACTTTGTTAGACTACTTATTAGCTAAATTATTATGGAGCCAAACTTCTCTGATTTGTGAAATTACTGTGTATTTCATAGTACATTTTCATTCCATTTGTAGAACCTATTTAATATGTTCGTTTTCATTTGGGTATTGTTTTGTGTTGACCAAAACATATCCCTTCAAAATAGAAATTCCAATTTATACAATCTTCCTATTTTTTCAATGTTTTCTTCGATAAAATATTTTTGTTTGGTTGTTCTCCTACTTGTAGGTTCTTTCATCTTCGTTTTCTTTTCTATCAAACAATACCCAAAAAATACAGATATAAGGTGAGGATTTGTTTTTCTAATTTCTTATTTTTAAATTTTTTTGGTAAAGTTTATTTTTTTTACTTTAAAAAAAATACTTTCGACTTCTTTTACTGTAAGCCTTAGTTTTACAATTTTAAAATTTTTATTTTATCTATATGATTGTGTTTTTGTTTACAACGATTTGGTAAAGTTCGTTGTTTCATGTTGTTAGATTTATGGTGGACTATGGTGGGTGATTTGAGTATTTTATATTTGTACTATTGTTTTCATCCATGAATAAAATCACATGTTTTATTTTTCACTCGTGCAGGCAATCTTTAGTCTTTAGGTTCAAATGTCGTATGTTTTGAACTTAGTTTTTATTTAGTCGTTTTTGGTGTACAATTTTATTTTCTTAGTTTGTCGATTTGATGGTTATCGTAATTTTTGGTTATTCCTTTTTGAAATTTTCCAATCAAGCACAAATAGTTAAATAGCTGAAACATTTGTCACCTAATGTATGTTAATTTTGTATGATCATTTGCTACAAATCATTGTGTCATTGGTTTAGGGTTTTCTTTCCTTTTCGAAATCTCTTCTAAACATGTCGATTTTTGATAAGTTTACTTTCAAATGTTATGTATTTGAAGCTAACTTCTTCATTTGTCTCCTTTTGTTTGTGCATGGTTACAGTTTTGACTTGGTGGAATCCTCAGATTTGTTGCTATAGTGTTTGTTGGGTAAGCTTTGTTACAAAATTAATTGTTTTAATTAATTATTTATGGGTTCCTTTTATATATTTTGCGGTCTCTTCATTGAACTTTCATTTTTGTTGTTCAAATGGTTTTTTAACTTCAATGTTATGTATTCTTGGGGCTAAAAAATTTGTGTATATTATTTTTTAATAATCCTAAATCTCGCTCTCTTCTTACGTACTTATAAATGTCTTTCATTCGTAATTTGTTTTTGTTTTTTAGTTTATTTATATAGAAATTTTAACCTCCTTCGTACTTATATGTTTCATATATTTTTTTAGTTTACATAAATTTTTTGTGTCTATATTGGCATGAATAAAAATATTCATCAATTCCCGTAATTTACCTTACTTATTTGTGTAATTGCATTTTGTTATTCTCATCAATATGGTTCGTTACTATCCTCTGTCCATCATTTGAAGTTTTTCCACATGTCTGTTTGTCGTTAATGTTTAAATCATGTTGCTGAAATTCAGAATTTGTGTGGTGTGTTTAAAAAGAATAATTGATGTTATATAATTATTACATTGTTAGAAAATTTAGACGGTTGAATATTTCTTCAACGGTTTCTTGTAACTAATTTTTCATATTCGACAGTTTAGTCTTTGTATGTGAATGTTTTAATAGATGCGAATAGTGTTCTTCAATTGTCTTGGTTGATACTACTTACCTTGGAGTTCAAATATTCAATAATTTTCTATCGTGATGGATATTTTGAAAACGCCTGTTCATGAAGACCATGTTTTTGTTAACTTTGATGCTACCTCCAGAAGTGGAATGAGCTATACAGAGCTTCCATTCACCAACAACGAATTCAAAGACAGAAAGATAGGCGAAATAGATTTAGAACTGATTGTAGTGATTATCATAAAAGGAGAAATGACCCTATGTTATCTGAAAATAATTCTTCTGTTGTTGTCGAACTACATGAGTCCATAATTCATCAAGACTTTGACACTACAACTTCAAATCAAGAAATACATAATATTGTCAATTCTGAATTTGAAGAAAATTTCAAGGGATTGAATATATCATTTACTACATATATGTTACCAATTTCTATTTACTGTAAACGTTGTAAGGCACACAAATTTTATAGAGAAAGTGAAGGTTTTTGTTGTTCTGATGGAAAAGTTAAGCGTTTTATATGTGACTCACCAAATGAACTGTATAATTTATTTACTTCTAAAGAACTTTATTGTATGGAATTCAAAAAAATTGCAAGGGGATATAATAATCATTTTGTTTTCACTTCATTTGGTGTGAAGTATGATAAAGAACTTTTTAAAGCATATAAAGGTATTTACACATTCAGGGTTTAAGAACAAATACATCATTATGTAAATAAATTTATGCCACAAAATAAGACGCCTTCTTATACGCAGTTATATTTTTACGACACAGACAATGAAGTTGAAAATCGTATGAAAATTTCATCAAATTTTGTTGAGTCTACTTTAATTGTTTTAATTGAAATATTAAAAACAAATCCATACAGTAAATTTTTTAGGTCTTTAAGTGATATGATTAATTTGCATGATCATAAAATACAGATACGTTGCGATCCAGGACTTGATCAAAGAGTTTTCAATACGCTTACAGCATCTCAAGTAGCTACTATATGGGTTGAAGATAATGAAAATGCTAATGTTCGTACTCGTGATATCACTATGTACGGTCATTCTAATGATTCACATTGAGTGCATTACTATTATGGATGTTATGATCCGTTACTCTTCCCATATAGGGAATCTGGTTGGCATCAAGGCATTGATAGACACAGAAATGCATACTTTCAGCCTCAACATATGTTGACATCTGATGTTTTTCCTAACACAACTACTTCTGCAATTGAATTTATCGAAAAAGAGAATGAAGGTTTGGAAATATATTTGATATTAGAGTTTTCTATTTTTTGCAGTATTTTTTCTTATCAATGAATATTCAATTTGGTTTCTCTTTGGATCCTACAGTGCTCAGTCAAATAAACTTAATGCCACAAAATAATATGTCTTCTTATATTCAGTTATATTTTTACGACACAAACAATGAAGTTGAAAATCGTATGAAAATTTCAACAAATTTTGTTGAGTCTACTTTAATTGTTTTGATTGAAATATTAAAAACAAATCTGCACAGTAAATTTTTTAGTTCTTTAAGTGATATAACTAATTTGCATGATCATCAAATACAGATACGTTGCGATCTAGAACTTGATCAAAGAGTTTTCAGTACGCCTACAACATTTTAAGTAGCTGCTATACGGGTTGAAGATAATGAAAATGCTAATGTTAGTGCTCGTGATATCACTATGTACGGTCATTCTAATGATTCACATAGAGTGCATTACTATTATGGATATTATGATCCGTTACTCGTCCCATATGGGGAATCTGGTTGGCATCAAGGCATTGATAGACACAGAAATGCATACTTTCAACCTCAACATATGTCGACATCTGACATTTTTCCTAACACAACTACATCTGCAACTGAATTTATCGAAAAAGAGAATGAAGGTTTGGAAATATATTTGATATTAGAGTTTTCTATTTTTTGTAGTATTTTTTCTTATCAATGAATATTCAATTTGGTTTCTCTTTGGATCCTACAGTGCCCAGTCAAGGGAAGAAACGTACTCAGGTCTCTTGTCGAGAATATTATTCGTATAAGTTACAAATAAGGACTTCTGGTAAGTCTGTGATGCTTCACGATGATAGATTATTTCAGCAGTATGTTGTAGATATATATGTTAAGATTGAAACTGCCAGGTTGGATTATTTTCTCAATAATCAAAAACAAATTCATGCTGAACTTTACGAAGGTATTGTAGACAGTGTTCAAAATGGAAAAATAAGAGGATGCAAAGTTGGAAGAAAATTTGTTTTACCACAATCCTTTATCTGTGGGCCTCGTGATATATTAAGAAGATACATGAATGAAATGACTATTGTACAACACTATGGAAAATCAAATATATTTTTTACTATAATGTGTAATCCAAATTGGCTAGAGATTACGCAGGAACTTAAAAACAATGATGAAGTTCAAAATTGACCCGATCTAATTGTACGTATATTTAGAGCAAAATTAGAAGAATTGAAACATGATCTATACAAAGCAAGTATTTTAGGCCTTGTTATTGCTCATATATATATATATGTGATTGAATTCCAAAAAAAGGGCTTCCTCATGCACATATATTGTTAATATTCAGATCTGGACATAAAATCTTTTGTGCTCAAGATGTTGACAGGATAGTATCATGTGAAATTTCGGAGAAAAATAAATACCCTCATCTTCATTCTGTTATTGTTAAACATAATATGTATGGCCCTTGTGGAAATATGAATCCGAAAAATGTATGTATGGAGGGTAATAAAAGTTGTAAAAACAAATACCCAAGGGATTTTTGTAATATTACTGTATTTGGTCAAAACTCATATCCATTATACAAGCATCGTGATAACGATATTTCTGTTTGAGTTAGAGGTCATATGTTAGACAATCGATGGGTTGTACCATATAATCTTTATTTAAGTACAAAATTTGATTACCATATTAATGTTGAAGTATGCTCTTCTATCAAAGCTGTGAAATATGTACAAATATGTGTACAAAAGACATGATTGTGTCAATTTTACAATTCACACAAATGAAATAGAGAAATAAATAGATGAAATTTTTGCTTATCAATTTGCTAGATGGATATTTCCACCTGAAGCTATGTGGAGGATTTTTCCTTCAACCTGTCGGAAATTTGCTCGACGGTGTATTCTTTACAACTCCACATCGAAAATCAACAAGTAACGTACGATAATAAAGATGATTTATCTACTATTGTTGAGAATGAAAATACAA